AGGGAAAGGAAAGCTGTCTCAGTCGTCGGCATTTCTCTGACTTTGCCACTGTGTCTAGTATGTAAGTATACATTTTTATCACTAGAAGATTGAGGAGTACCTTCACTGTAGCAAGGCAACATTCAGATCAAATATCATTTCCCTTCCTTGTTGCAGAAAGTTTGCACAGAACAGATAGGGGAATTACTTGCCACGCAAGTGTATTGTGTTATTAAAGAAATCCTTATTCAGATATGTATTTCCTGGTATACCCCATTTTCAAAATGAAATTTGTATTAATGTGGCAGGAAATTTGCAACCATGCTCGTTACTGTTAATAAAGTATTTTTGGAACCAATTTTCATTCTTCTTTTTTTTGTTTCCCCGCCACAAAATTCTATATGATGGTATTTAGTGTTTAAGAATTGCAATTTTCCATTAATGTTAATATTTCCCATTTCAATACTTACAGAAAAGCAAGTCTATTAATTTTTCTTATCAAGATAGGTTTTTCCCCCTACACTTTTTTCACAAAAACTATTAACAAAACACTTTATTTCCATGAATTCTAAATAACTTCTCCTTTGATCTCCCAAAATATGTGACAGAATTTAAAAAGGCTTTCAGAAGACAAGAAAAGTCAATTTTAATTTGGGACTTTGGAGATAATTACATCTGTGAACAGTTTAGAAGTGTCCTTTCTTATCTGCAGTGTATTTTAGGACTGCGTTCTACTATTTTGAAACTCTACGGGTTAGCTGAGATGGCACAGAGAATAAATGCAACCAATAGATTAACTCATTTGCGAACTACTTATTCAGTGAAGCAAGGTTTGAAAGGAGGAGGTGGAATGTAAGCCTGGAATTGTGACTCAGACTCAAATGCTTTCCTCAATTGCTCTCAGCAAGCCACAATTATACAAATCTCTGACTCAGCATTAAGAAGAACTTGGCAATCTGGTCTTCAACTTCAATAAAATACAAGGATTTTAATGTAATATTATCTGTATATTTATAGTAAATAGCTAGTTGCATCTCAAAAATGTTTTAGTATTGTAAGCCAAGATAAATCCGTGACATCATACCTACACAAAGCAGGGGTTGTCCAATTTCAAACAAAAGATTTTACTTTATAAACAGTACACCAGGAAAGCTTCCACTGACCCTTCTAATCTATACCGGGACAGTGGGCCTGGGGCCATGAATTTTACTTTATGACAAATTGTATTATTACTGAGCTGAGCAAGGAAGTGTAATGTAAACTAGACAAATTCTGAATGGCCTCCCGATCGTTTTACCTGCAGTACTGCAGCAGAGAGCTGAATGGCCAACACATCATATAGCTTATTATCTATACACTGAAGAAGAATAATACTACTCCTCCTCCTCTAAAGAATATTCAAATTAAAAAGCAGGAAATAGGGATTTTAACTTTGAGACCATTTATTACAGTTTATAGAAGAATAGCAAAAAGCTACTAATTTAAGTTTTCTATGTCATGCCTAAGAGACTTAGCAAGAAGCAAAATTCTCACTAAGTATTCTTTCCAGCTGAACTGCATTTAGACAGCTAAATCAGTAATGCAGTATAACATGGTCATATTAACTTGATGAAGGAGAAAAGACCATCTGCACCACCATGAATATGACTAAAATAGAGTGCCAGTAAAAAGCCTTTAACAATGTCTAATAGCAGAAAATCTTATGAATGGTATTTTTAAGAAATTCAATGTAATTGATGAAAAAAGAATTATAGTATTTGTTTCACCTTTGATGCAATAAGCTTTCAAAATTGATTTATAAACTGTTTTGAAACTCAATTCTATGTGCATTTAAAAATAATAAAAATCTTTGAATTCTTTAATTTCAACTTTAAACAATGTGTTCAATTATACTTGGTAAGTTAGACAGAATATCCATGTTCCCAGGGTGCACTCTGCTGAATATCACTGTGCAGATTGAAAATTGGCACCTCTAGCTGCTGTTTAAAACATGCATGACTCTGCTTTTATGTAACAGAAATTTCTATCATCTGCTGTACTGTTGTGTGTACATTAGAGTTATAGAGTCAATGCTAAATATTTGGAATTCAACAAGCTTTTTCAGAAATTTTCAGGGGAAAAAAAGCAATATTGTTATACGGATTTATATTTTAAAGTAGGGGAAAAGGGTGGAAATAAATGGCCAATATTTCAGATAACTGAGATATTATCAGTAGAGTTTCATAGGTTCTTTATTATTTAATACGTTTTCAATTACTTGGGTAACAAACAGCAAGGTGCTGTTTGCTTGGCTGCAAACAGCAAGGTGAGAATGTTTGTGAATGTCTCAAAATTATTCAGAATATGAGATTTACAGACATATCTTATGATACCAAGTGGCCAAGTGATGAAACAGTAAATAAAATTTTTTACATTAACAATCAAGAAAGAAATCTCTCAGGTGTCATGAAAATATCTTAAATTAGCACAGGCTAGAAAGATAACACAAAAAGGCAAATCAAATATTAGGAATTATAAGGAAAGGAACTAAGATCAAAACAAAAAGCTATTATGTCCCTGCATTGATCCTTGAGTTTCAGAGTAGCTCAGACCTGCCAAAAATGATTACATGATAAATGAAAAGGAACTGAAAAGAGTGAGAAGGATGATCAGAAGTACACAATACAGTTACACCAGCATTCTCCAGGTTGTAAAAGAGGTATGCAAAGAGGAATGCAACAGATGTATCAGAAGCTATAACATTACTGAGACTATAAAAAGGGAGCAATTATTAGCTATTTTTCATATCATAAGAACTAGCACCCTCTCCAAGGCAACAGGTTTATAGCAGGCAAGGGGAAGTACTTTTTCACAAAGGTACACTAAAATTATGGAACTGTTTCCTATAGGATGCTTTGCAGATCAAAGTACAACTGTGTTTCAAAACCACTGAGACAAAGTCATGGAAGAAGGGTACACCAAACATTCAGTTTGTGGTTTGAACACAATCTCTGGCTCGGAAAGTTTCTGAACTGCAGATAGCCAGAAACTGAGTAAATTTACTGGGAGAAATAACACATGGTGGTGATTCTTAAACTCCTTCTCCATATATCCACTACTGGCAAATATCAGAGGTCCAACAACGTGCTAGATGGACCTGCAGTGTCAGCTAGTACAGAACCTTTAAGAAGAGCAAGGCACTCTCACTTTCATTCATGTAGAATTCAAAAGAAATTCAATACTAAATATATAGGACATTCATTTTAAAACATTAAATGATTAAGCAGTGCCATCAACTGCTCTGCACTTACTGTTGGCCATAGGCATCAATGAAAGACTATTTCAAAACATTTCAGTATGGGACAATAAATTTCAGTGCTAAATATTAATGAACTAGCCACTAGGCAATTAAAACTGACTGGAAAAAAATGAAATCTTATCCCAAACAGAACTTTGTATCCCAGTAAGAGGGAATAAAAAATATTTTGAGATGACCTCTGAGAAATCATTTTGTTATTGATTCACCGTGGAAAACACTCATGCAGCAAAGTGATGAGTGACAAGAAGGTATTAGATAAGTCAGGTTGTTTATGCAGTGACATCTGATTATTTGAATTATTTCAATTATTTTATTTTGTTAATTATTTTTTTAGCATTTCTTTTTCTAAACTGTTTACTATGTTTTATGAACATCAGAAGTCCCTATGCATTTTATTGCATCTGTGAGTTGTATTACATAATACTTTAAAATAATTGCTATCTGGGTCTGGTTCTTTAGAGGGACAGTCTGTAGATTTTGCAGATCTTCCCCTATGTTTTCTTTATTATTTGCATCATATTTTACACTTCCTCTCAGCTACTGATATTTCTTACCATTACACAAAGTTGTTAGTTTTCCACACACTTAGAATAGCCTGATCCTGCCATGCAATATACCAAGCCTAACTAAGTCCACACCTATGCACATGTACAAAAGATAATTGCATTGCATAGATGCAATTGAGGCTTGAGAGCTGTGTCACTGTTTTTTCTTCCTGAGTGTTCCTTTACTTTTCATTTTAAACTCATTTGAAATAAGCGTTTCATTTAATTGTAAAATGTAAGTATTGGAAAGGATTGTGGAAAAACTGATACACAACTTATTTTTTTTTCCTAAAGGATTAGCACTGGTATCTTTCTGTTTAATTTGTAGGCAATAAATCAATAAATCAGCAGTACACTTTTAAGCATATAGGGTTCCACTAATAATAGAATGCACAAATACCTATTTCAGGATAACAGCTATCAAGCAAAGTAGTTTGATGTGTTCTAGCAGTCTTTTATAGAGGCATAGATTTTTAATTTAGAAACATCAGAACAGACAACCTTATCTCTTTTAAAACAGACTGTAGAATCAATGCTGCTAACCCTATTCTGAGCTCAATAACTTAGGTCAGGCTGAGGTATGATATCCTTTAACACTATGACTATAATCAACTTACAACTGTATAATATTTCTATATTTACACATACAATTGCTAAGCATTGTAATTTATTAGGAATAGGTCAGTTATAGCTATTATTATGCATTCTGACTGTGTGTGAAAAAAGCAGATTTTCATGACAAGAAACTAGTATGTAATATTTTCTTCTTTTGTATGTATTTACATGTAGGCAGACTTTTGGGGTTCCGGTTGCCTGGATTGAGACTTTTAACGTACAGAAAGCAGTCCTTACCACAAGAAGACCCTGATGCAGTGATAGTCGATTCATCCAAGCACAGCGATGACTCAGTGGCTATGAAGCACTTTAAATCACCTACAAAAGAAAGTTGCAGTCCTTCAGAAGTGGATGATACAAAAGCACTGATTCAACCCAGTAAATGTTCACCTTTGGTTAATATATCAGGACCTCTTGACCATTCATCACCTAAACAGCAATGGGACAGACTTTACCCTGACATGATACAGACAAGCAATCCACTAACCCATTCCAGATCAAAGGAAAGCATTTGTAGTATACGGAGAGCATCTTCAGTACACGACATAGAAGGCTTTAACGTCCATCCCAAGAACATTTTTAGGGACCGTCACGCAAGTGAAGGTATGGTAGAAAGTCAATCAGTATTCTATGATGTACTAAGAAGGAATTATTGCAATTTTTCATAGAAATTATCATCACTTTGTAAGCAAAATTAAATATAATCAGCTGTATACATTCAAAGGCACACTAAAACTATTAAGGGCCCAAATATGCCAGGCTTATTTACACTAAATACTGCTTTTCATGTCTAAGCAGACCAATGAAATCATGAGGTTGCTCTTACAGTACCATCTGCCTTCCTATAGAGATATAGCAAAATTGGCCCCAACATTCCTAAAGGTTATACTGATATTTGGGGGGAAAAAATCAGGTGATCCAGTTAAAATTGCATGCACAGTTCTGTCCCGTATATTAGATTGTCTTTGACCATATGAAATCCTACTTCAGAGATTGATCAGTTTATTTTTCTTAAATCTGTAATGTGCACATTATATATTTACTGATCCAACACTGAGACATGTTTTTTCTCTCAAACTGGAGAAAATATCCTCAGCAACTCTACTGAAATACTTTGTACAATGCTTAGGGAAATACTTGGTGAAATGCTTAGTGTAAAATTCATGTAAGTGTGATTTTCTCTTTGTGTTAGTATATTCTTGCAACCAGCAAAGTTTACAAAGATGTTTTCTCTGTCTTCTTTCTACTGTCTAGTCATGGAAAGTCATGGAGTGTAATCCATGATTTCTTGTTGGAGACAGGGAATTTGAGAAACTTGGGGAACAGTTTAGCAAACAGAGGTTTGAAAGCCCCGTGAATGGAGAGGTACCTTTGAAATTGGCTTTTGCAGAGAAGTGCCACATATACAATGCTTTTGAAGCTACTGATGGTCTAATGACTGGAATGGCATACTTTTTATTCAAGCCAGATGATAAGGAATTTATATGGACTGTTTTAAGATCTCAGAAACATATGTCATGGAAAACTGTGCACAGATTCATAAATTAGTAAGAAAATGAATTTTCATTGTCAGTGATTGCCTGGTTTTCTCCTTCATTGACTGCAAGTGTAAAATTCCTTTAAGTTCTCCTTCCTTTTGGAAGGTCCACATCAAAGGCTGTTGGCTCCTGTACATCTCCTAAAATATAAGTCTGAATGCTCCTCTGCCACCCAAATTAACTTCTAGAATGGCAGAACTAATTATTCCTTCCAGTTACTCTTCCTGTATTAAATATAATGTGTAAATACTTCTTTTCTCATTTCTGTTTCTTTTGGACTCTGATTTTTTCTCCGTTCGAATGAACCTGAAAATTCAATTAAAACTATATCATTTTGCTATATTTCATGTTCACATTCAAGCCAAGATTTCAAGATCAGGATGTAGAGGCAAAAATCTCCAAGGTTGAACCTTGACGTGTCTTTTGGACCAGTGCATAAGCTTCATCTTGGTTTCAACTTCCCTAGATATTTCAAATAAATGATATTTAAAGATATCTGTTTTGTCAATTTCTATTTTCAGAATTTATTCTCATTAAAGCACTTCCCAACAGGTCATTCTTCATATAGTTATGTGGTGAAAGTGTGTAAAAATCAGTTTCTTTGGTTATGGTGGCATAAAGCTCATGCAGAGCTTTGCCACATAATTTAATACTTGCTGCATGGAGGAGCATAACTTCTAGCTCCATTTCACTGAATAATATTTTTCAAATGTTAAATACTAAGGAAAATAAATTTTACTACGATGAGTCAATAATCCATTTGTATTCCTATGGCCTCTCATATGATGCAATAATTCACAGTGTAAATAGATAAAACACCGCCACTCTGATTTCATTCTGCATAAGCTACGAAATAGTAGAGTATCTGGCCCTAAGTTTAGGTCACACATACACATTCTAAAAAAGTACAGCAGAACAGAGGATGGCTCTCAGAATTGCATTAGAATTAGTAACCATCCTTGATGCCATCTGCTTCCAAGCACATTAGAATTTGGCACCATATGCTGAAAAGATGTTTAAATTTAGCCAGCAAGTCCTGCTTGCTTTAGTCAACAGTGAGACATAAACTCCTATCATTGCTATAAAATTATCCATGTAAGATAGACAACCAGGATTCAGCCTAAATCATCTTCTCTGGACTCACAGATTCAGAGCCAAAGCTGTAGATGCTGCACTGGAGAATGTAAAGCCCTAAATAAAAGTAAAGTACAATAAGTAAAAGTAAAATACAGTCCCAATGGAAAAAATTATGGGGCCTTTGATGTTGCAATATATATTACCCAAGGAAGCATAAGGTTTAACATATTTCCCATTCCATTTTTATTTTGTTTATTGATCCTAATAATTCTGAACTTTCCTGAATCCACTGAAAACTACTACTCCACCTGAGAATGCAATTCAGGATTCAGATTTAATTTTTTTCCACCTTTTTGAGTTCAAATAGTATTAATTGAATCAGCATAACAGAATTCTGACAACAGAGAATAGCAGCATTTAGTTCAATACTAACTACAGCAATTCACCCACAGTCGAATATATTTTTTTGGAAGATAAGGCAGTTGAGAATACAAATGATTTCATGTGTTAAATTTATGTAGCCTAGTTGCCTATCACTTTAAAATTGTCATAGCTGTGGCCATTATACGTTGAAAGGTGTTAGGATGTAAAATTCATTTGAGTGTACTCAATTTAATTCAATTCTAAATTTGCCTATTTGACAGCAAAAGCAGCAGGGCAGGAACTGTGTCTTCCACTCACCACCCAAACTGCAGCCAAGCCCTTCTCACCTGAAATGCCAGCAATCCAGATTTTGCAGGCGGGTACAGGTTCACAGGGACACTTTGGGAAATTTATTGTCTTCAGAACGTGACCTCAGCAACATCCCTGCAGTCTTCAGAGCCTAACTCAGCCTACAAATTCTGCATTACTGCTACAGATGCCTGGCACAGAAAGGCATCAGGCTGAGAGAACTAAATACTCTCCCACACCCATGGTCCAGAAGGCCAGCTCAATGCCTCATGCTCCCCAGACCTCAGGAAGCTGAGGAAAGCCAGAGAGAGGCAGCAGATGTGACATGATGCCACAGACAAGACCAAGCATCACCTCCAATTCCCCTCAGAGGAGAAGGACATGGTCTTTCTCCAGAGCAGGGCTGAAGCAGGGCCTCTTCAGGGACAGGGCTGCTGCTGGGGCGGACAGGGGCACAGCTGTCTCAGCCCTCAGAGGTGGCCTGTCACCACAGGTGAATATCAGCTTGAGCCCAACACACCTTTGAAAGCCGGTAAGCTGGTCATGGTGGCCAGCAGCGCATAGGGGCAGGGCCACATCCTGCACCTGGGTCCCTGGTCCCTGCCAGCCCCCAGGGCCCTCGCCCACCCTCACACCCCCTCTGACCTTCCGCAGCCAGGCAGGGGGCACAACACAAAGGGAGGGCAGCCTGTGGATCATGTTGTACACCCTTAAATAGGGGTGGTGTCTACCTATCCACTTATGTGGCTTCTTTAAAATAATAACAAATAATAACAGTAACAATAATAATATTATCCCTTAAGAGGTTTGATCTCATGAGAGGATTCAGGGCTGGGTGTGCCTGTAACGACAGAGAGCTTTGCCACCGTTACCTTGTGGAAAGGCACCTAAGAGCTGAAGAAAGGTTTAAGGTATATCTTTCTCCTCAGTGTTTCTCCAATATTTACTCAGAAAGGCACAGCTCAGCTTGCTGCCACGGTAAAAACTTTTCCTGCTGTGAGTCCTGAGCAGGCACTGGGCCTGGGGTTCTGTGCAGGGCCACCCGTGCAGCCCCATGCAGCCAGCCGGCCTGCGCTGCCCGTCCGCAGCTCTGGGTGCCTCAGCCTCACTTAATTACGTGTGACTAATTACCACTTTGTAATTAGCACTTTTGACTTCTAACAAACTTGTGGAGAAACAATTCTATCGTGTTACTGTTAAGGCAAGTCATCTAGAGCCAGTCCTACTACCTGCTGATCTACTCCTAACAGTTTTACAGATTATCTCTCAGTTGTCAAAGTGACTTCATCTTGACTAACAATCCACATAAGATAATCAAGGAGGTGCAAAAATATTTCAATTTAAACCACATACATATTTTGAAGCAATATTTTCTGCTTTTTCTGATGTAGATTTTAGTTGTCTTTTTTCTCTTTTTTTCTTTGCTTTTATTATGCTGAAAACCAGACAATGGTCGCAATGTCAAAGGTAAAGTATACATCTAAACTGTACCTTCCAGTGTTTCAAACAGCCACACTTTTTGGCATGATACTTTGCCTGCTGTATGAAATGTTCAAATGCAACATTCTCATGCTGACCTCTCTAGGGCCAGGTGCATTACTTAAATTATGTTTGTTAAACACATAGTTATTCCCTTAACTATTGTCTCAAAGCACTAACTACCAATCCCTGGAAAAAGTGAAGGCATAGTTAAACAGTCATTTGACTTAATTATCTGTTAATTCAAAAAAGGAAGGGAGGGAGATAGAACATATCATAGTTATTTAACTTAGTGCTGTTGTCCTTAAGCAGGCAAAACTTCTATTGCAGCTACCAGAAGTTTTACCTGTGAAAAGATGTACAATTCGGTGGGGCCACTAACAAGCAATCTACTGTTATAAGGTGTTTAGTTGTCAGTTAGCTATCTCAAAAATAAAATAATTGGTAATCAGGAGCCTTGTGGAAGTATCTTCACTTATTCCTCTTTTGTCTCCTCAAAACTAGTTTCACGTTCCTGGATGGCAGGGGGTATGGTTTCAAGCTTCCTGTAGTATTAAAATATGCATGCATGAACTTCATTGCCAATTTCATGTTTAAATAACATTTAGTGCAGTTACAAAATTGTTTCTATTCACCAGCACTGAGCTACATCTTTCAGAAGCAATTTGAATATAATTCTGAAGTTACTTCCTCCATTTCTAGAAAACAATTACTAAAGTGTTCAGTTTAATTGTAATATTTGTAGCTATGTCTTAAAACTGGTTTGTGATGTCATGCATGATGCAAAAAGTGTGCGTACCTGGTAGTCTTCTCTCTAAACTGCATGCAGTGCATGACCTAGGTTCTGTGAAGCAATTCGTGGACTGTGAAATCATTGCATTTGCTTCATGTGTGTGTTGGCAAAATCTTGGGGAAAAAACCCGCAGCCTCCGTACTGTAAAGCAACTTTTATAAATGTATTTACTGCTGGTGAAAGATCACGGATTGACAGCTCAGGAGAGTGAAATCATTTCTCAGTGCATTGTGTAAGCAGGGACAATGGAGTCTTACCATAAAAACAGGGAGCACAAACTTAAAGAATCTCTTTTGTAGGGTAAGCAGAAGCATGTCATTCTCCCTGCTTATTCAATTCTTGGCTGCTCTGCTGAAACCGTCAATCAGGGTGCCAATTAGTGTCAATTGTGATTTGTTATGGCCCTCTTTTTCTGCTTCCTGCTATGAGAGTATAGCAAAGGTCCACTAGCTGTCAAGTATCAGATCAATTGCTGCCAGCCTATGCTGTGCTTAAGCTAGTAATGTCTTTCAATTCATTACAATTATCTATGAGGAATGTATATATACTTTTCACCACTTTCCAAAGCAAAAGAAGGTGGATTTAAAAAAGCAAGGTTTTATTCTTATGTGCAATTAACTTAAGTCTAATATCACACACTAGGGCATGAGTTTTAGGTAGCAAAGGAGAGGGTATAATTCCCTTTAGAATAGAAGCAATAAATGATTTAAATCCCAGAAAGCAAAACTTCAATGCAATTTAAGCATCTATAAAGTTACTATAAAAAAATTAATCTTATCTACTATCTAATCATAGATTTGCCTAGGTTCCTTTTAGTTTAGTTTTCTTCTTACCATTGAGTTCCTCAGGTATCAAGAATCTTGTTTATCTGACAAATGGCCCCAATTTGATACCCCGCTCATGTCTAAGCCTACTTAATATTCAAAAACTATTAATTGCTACAACTATGTAGGGAAGTCCAACCACACATAGGTAGCACATGCCAGCCAGATTAGCCACTTCGTTGATTTGTGAGGAGATTGTGAGCCCTGATTTGTTTTGAAAACCACTTTTTAATAGAGTCATGTAGATGATGTGAAAGATAGGTTCAGATCCTACCTGGACCAAAAGGTGTTCAAGCACAATATTCCAATTCCTTGGTAATTTCCTCAGTACCAGGCTTTTTAGCATTCCTTGTGGAAGAAATGTAGTGCTTTCTTCCTTTTTCCAGTGGAGCTGTTCCACAAAGAATATACTAGGTTCATTTGTCTAAAGAAAAAAAGAAGGACTGATTTCGTAGTTTAGTGGTTAGAACACTCACACACAAATTTTAGTTTTTCTTACATCAAATGTTCATTGGACAAAGTACAGAAAGTCTTGAGAGCAGAACCACCAGACTCATCTCTCCCAGGCGAAGACCTGAACTGTTAGTCTAGGAGCATCATGCCCTCCCTTATCATCTTGAACTCTTTTCTGCACAGTGGCACAATTCTATCTTTGGCCTAGATTAACATACAGTTAGCATGAATTTAGAAGGTAGAAAGCATGTGTATAAAATCCTTTTAAGCGAAGAAAACAAATTAAAGTTCTTCAGCAAGCATTCTAAGCCAGGTGTGAGGGAAGACCAGCCCTCACTTCAAGAATTTTAAAAAAAAAATTAAAGAAAAAAAAATTCAGCACTACCTGAAGCATTTCCCCACAGCTATCTCCTGGCTGCTGGTTGCTTCGAATTTCACTCATTCACACATTGCAAATACAATTCAGCTGTTCTGCTGTTGACTCTGCAATGTACCCCATAGGCCTAATCCTGTCCCATTGGCTGTGCCTGAATCATAGCATTAATTCTTGTTCCCCTCCCAGGAAGAGAAAAAAAAAACTCAAAAAAACAGTAGAGGAATAAACATCACACTGTTGCCCACAATAGCATTAGGATGCAGTGAAGTTCTCATGGGCATCTGAGAAATGCCCTTCAAACCGATACTTCAGATACATTGTTACTGACTGCAAGACCTGGATTTTTTCTTAAATGCACAACTGAATCTAGCTCTCGCTGTCTAAACATCTGTATGGGTTTTTTTCCAGTATTATTCTCACAAGCAAATTTTCCTTACTATGAGTATTTTTGGCATCTGGACCAACTTTATGATGACAATACAAAATAAGTATACTGATCAGTTATGTTGCTTTCTTGGTGTACAAAGAACTCTGTCCAATATTGAAAAGAATAATTATAATGGATATGTACCTCACGAAGTATACAAAGTCCATATTTTTTATCTATTGTGATGCACTAAAGTAGTATAACGTGTTTAAGTATATATTAAATACTCCATTAATGTACTACATATGGGTATCCCTATTCTTTTCAATATTTTGTTGGTAATAGCAGTTGAAGAAATAAATTTTGTGAGTTTGTGATACTTCAGAATGAAACACTTTTAGGACAATGTTAGGTTAATATTTCTATTGATTAAGTATGGAGTTATTTGATGAGTCAACAGGGGTAGAGCAAGGGTCTACTCAATTTTCCAGTTTACCAAAAGGCATTTTTGAACTAACTATCATGTAAGCATGAACAACAGTACAGATGTGATAATAGAGCCTTTGCTCAGTCCAGATGATCTTATATAATCGTGTGTCCTATTTCTGCTTTTATAAACAAATGAGAATATAGTCTTTATATTCAGCCAGCATTATAATGGAGCATACCAGCATACCCAGTAACATGAAAACAAGTAAGGATGGATGCATTATGTACCTTGCAATCCACTGACTTTATAAAAAAATATTCTGGGCTATAACTAAAGGAAATTTCATATTTATGTCCAATACTAAATTTGATTCTCATTAGCAACAGAGTTATTTTTAAAATATAGATAATTTTTACTATTAACAAGTAGTATAGTGAAAAATAGATTTTAACTACACTTTTAGCATATCCCACTTAAACATTAATGATAATTTATTTATCTGCATTTGTCAAATACTAAATATGTGTTCTGATTTTTCAGGGCCTTTTAATCATATCAAGTCAAGTCTGTTGGGATCCACATCGGATTCAAACCTCAACAAATACAGTACAATCAACAAAATTCCTCAACTCACACTGAACTTTTCAGATATCAAAAGTGAAAAAAAATCTTCATCTCCTCCATCTTCGGAGAAAGCGATTATTGCACCTAAGGTGAAAGACCGAACGCACAATGTAACAGAGAAAGTTACCCAGGTAAGGTAATACCAATTATTTTAGTTTCTTTCCAGTTTTGTGGAGCCAATTATCAGTGTATTCAATAGATTGTTACTCTTTTCATGAGTGATTTGGATATCTCCAAGACAATTTCAAGGGTTTGAGCCATTACTTAGTTTACTTCCAATTCAGTTACACATGAGGTGGTTTACAGCATTAAATGATACTGCTAACAAACAAAATTTTCAATGGAAAAACCCTGTAGTATACAAGTGCCCCAAATAAGTCCACTAATTTCAGTGATTCCTGTTAGTTATAAATGTTAGTTTCTTTTTTTTTTTCCTCTTTCTCAGCTTCATGAATTGCTAATTAGTGCAAGGCACAACAGGATAACAAATGGTAGGTGATTGTGCCACTGGTATATGTATCATAGTTACATCTTGTAATTTCTGTTCCAGTTCTTTGGCTTTTCATAATGCTTTTTCCTGTGGTTATCTTTTCCATGTGTGTACATCAAAAAGGCTGTCAAAATGAAAAGCAGATACCTTTGGACTGGATGCATGATTATTATGTCATACTTGGGAATGAGGCATACAATTGAATCATAGAATCATAGAATGGTTTGGGTTGAAGGAACCTTAAAGATCATCTAGTTCCAACAGAAACAAAACTGAAAAAAATTCAAGATAGCATATTTCTTCAATCTAAGACAGATACAGTGCCTTCTGAAGGCAACAGAAGTTTTCAGCTAAAGTCAATATGAATATTATATTTGTGTTGTAATGTCATATGGAGATTGACAAGGACAGGCTATCAATGTGCAACATATTGAAAAATATTAAGACATGACAGTATCGCAAATAACTTTGATAGTTTTAATAAGCAGAGGGTTGGCCCTTAAATGCCCAATGTCTGCTGACAGACTGAAAGATGTTAGAAGTGCTTTGTGTTAGAATGCAGATAGAGATTTCATAAGGAAGATCTTGCCAAGAGTAGCTTTTGACTTACTGCTGACCTGCCTTCCATATTCTCTACATTGGTACTATGCCAGATATTTTCCATGCTCCCACTCCTTTTGACGGATATAAAAAGGAATGTATTGTACACCCTTCTAGAGAAATAGAGACAAAGGTTCTATCAGTTCTATCTTGAGATCAGTTAGTGCCTAAAAAGTAATTGGATTTTTATCTTTCATATATTTTGTCTTTGATAGCTAACTTGAATCTGCAACCATTGTACTTTCTTCCCTGGTCAGTTGTGAAAGATTTAATCTCTTCTGGATCCATTTTGATACGTTTTAAATTATTCATAGTAGTTATACATAGAAATCTTTTCACAGATAATGTGGCAAAAGTCAAGTTACATTAAAAAGACTAATTTTTATAAGTTACATAAGCATAAGTCAAGCTTGATTGTTTTTTTCAAAATTCTGACTGGCTAATTAGTGCCAGAGTGCCAAGTTTCTATGTTCTGATTACACTGTTATGGGGAAATAAATAAATGAATAAAAATAGATCTGTGTTTATTCTCCAAACAACTTAGATATTCTGAAAAGGTCCAATAGAAATGGCTTGGATCAGCTAAACCTTCCAGGAACATTGATACTAACTAAATTCAAAATTAAATTTGATATGCTCTATAAAACTTTACACATCACAAAAGATTTCCAATTTAATTTGACATTGGTTTATGCCCTTTTCTAGATCTCAAGCAATGTGCAGAGTACAATTTGTGTAGCAAACTTTGATAATGTACCATTCATCATAATTGGAAAGTATTCCCCACAGCTGTTCCTTTCTCTTTTAGTATATTCAGGTTGCAGTTGCTGCTGCAGCATAAACTCTAGGATTAGGTACAGAGAGAAACTCCTAGGAGGTATAAGTAAATGTAGGTCTACTGAATTTGATAGTCAAAGATCTAGTTAACTAGTTATTCATGAATTAGATTAGAAATAGACATTTGGAAGATGAAAGTGGTTTGGTTTAGTCCTGTGTTTGTTTCTAATCCCCAGTGATTTCAATGTATTTTTTAAGAGTCTGCACCTCGAAGGTTCCACTGCATGTGTGCCTGTGTATTTAAAATTTCAATCTCTTTGTAAAACTTGTCATAGGCCCATAGATCCATTTTGTATCTGCAGAATAGTGGAAAAGTGGTTTTGGAAAGTTTGAGCACAGTGTTGAGAATAGAATATGGCAGAAACATCAGGTGAGATAATTGGGATATGCTCATGCTGGCACAGTCCTCTGATATACATAAATCTGTGAAATGGCATCAAAAATGTACAGAGGGCAATATGACCTATTTAATCTATAGGACAATATCAGTAAAAGAGCAAATGAGTATAAAATGGCCCTGGTAAGTTAAAAGGTCACCCTTAATCAAAGTAGTGACATTCTGAATTAGTCTTCTAATAAAAGTTAGGGCAGGAATTCCAAATGTCTTTAGACAGAGCCTGAGAAATGCAGTAAAGGTATGGATAACACAATGTGCTTTTTTTGGGATTGCAGGACTTGGTGACATGGAAGACCACTTCCAGTCACATATTGCACCATTCAGACATCCATCAATCTCTCTCTTTATAGTCCTCATTGTGTATCTCCCTTCCTTTCCTTTCCTCAACTTTGCTGAAAAATTTGGTCGTGTTGCTATAACCTGATTCTTCCACTACTGTGGCTCCTCTCACTGTGCAGCTCAGAATATAGAGACTTGGACTCTGGTGTGCACCACACTAAGGCATCAGTGAGCCTCGCAGTCGGATGACTGCACTCTGGATTCTATCTCATGCATCAATATCAAACCAAGTATCAGCATCACAGGATACAAGAACAAGTTCTTCTTTCCAGAGATAACAGCTGTATGAATTCTATCGTATCCACAAGCTGGAGAAGTAATTCAGGTAGTGAAGACAGTGAACAAGGAGAGGATGGCACATTGCTACCTTCACGAGGTAGAGGAAGAATAATGAATAAAATAAATGAGTTATGGCCATTCTGTTTAGAGGAAGTAATACACTTTCAGAAAACATTTAAAGAGGAGTGGGATGCTTTAGCAGTACGATTTTGGTGGAATAAGTTAGAAGCAGATGGGAGAATAAAGTTTAGAAAATAATTTCAGAAGGAGCAGAAGAGGTTGTGGGACAGTGGTTGATACTTTGAGTGAAAAATATGAACTTTGAAATGCAGGTGGAGGAAATAAGATTTCTCTACAGAATTTAATAAGTAAGTAAATAAATAAAATCCTCACAGCATCTTACCTTTTAAGTAATACAAGTGAGAGAATCTCTTCAAAAAGATCCAGGTTATAAACGCTACTGCAAAGACCCTTAAAGTATTGCCTTACTACTTAACAGGAGTGTTCAGGACATTAGATGTAGAGAAGAATATTGCCTTAAGATATAGCTTGCAGTGAAGCACTGCCAGTGTGATGGTCCTGAATTAGTAGATACTCAGATCTCTTGGGTCTTCACTGACCAAAGCTCCTTGTATAATGCAGAGTAGCAATAACATCTTCTGGACACCTGTTTCTGCATAACAGTGAATTTTACTGAGAGGAATAGCCCAGTCGTAGCTGCCAGCTAGCCCTTATTAAAAAATTGGCAATGTCATGTAGATATTAGTCACTAAAATTAAATTTACATTTCCATTCCACTTTTCTAAATTTTTTTTTAATGTTTCACATTATAATTTCCAGAGGTGCTAAGCTAGACTGTCTTCTCGAAGACTCTCAACTTTTTTTCATAATTTATTTTTTTTTTAGTCTGTTCAGGATGACAATCCAATTTCTGCACTCTTTTGCACTGACAGGTTCAGTTAGGGTCCTAACACTGATTGTTAGAAAGAGACAAGTCTTCCCAGAGGCAGAAAAAGTAGACTTTTATGAAAGAAAACAGTGGGGCAAAAATTTGACATCTGTCCCTTAACATTTTTGATGAATTTGTAAAGTGAACTTCTGGCCTTAAAATTACAGCATGTAGAGGCGCAACAGTAAATGATTTTATATTTAGTTTAAAAACAGATTGATTTTAAATCTTCTTACATATACAGTGCCCATTGATGTATGACTCCAAAGCTGTGAACTCTGTTGTGAACAGACTCAGAGCAGCATCAAGATTAGAATACTCGGTACCTATACTTATTTTCAAAGAAAAGAGAGAATTCCTGAATACTCATAGATTAACTCTGGCAACAAACAATGGCTGGCCCAATTAATAAACATAATTTACTGATCTCTTTATTATGGTATTTGCACAAAACTGTTTTGTGGCTCCTGATCACTAATGTTCAGAGATTATTGATCCCCTTGAAATTTATCAGTCTGTTGAGATATAGCATGTGGTTGAAAGACCCAATATGTATCTCTTGTTTATGACTTGTCTCAATAACTGACTTATATGATGGTAAAACTGTATGATCTTTAAACTTTTTGTAAATAATACTTTTCAAAACAGTGTCATCATCCACCCACCTGTAGGAAATATATATACCCAAACTGGTTATATGGCTGATCAAATGATAAATATGTACCTTGACAGGCTACACAGTCGATTGGAAGATTGCATTCTGATTTGCAGACATGCTGAACACCCACAGCTCTTCTGAAAGTGAAGCTCTCAGTGAAGGGGAGTCACGTATGAAGTGACAGACCTTGTAGTTTCACTGCATGTTTTTTGTAATCTGGCCAGACTCTATTCTGTCAGCCCCAAAAGATTAAGAAATAAGTAACAATATCCCCCGAGGCCAGTCTCAACTGTTGATATAAAAAGAACAATTATATGATCATGACTTCAAACTGACCTTCAGGTTTTCAGGCTAAAAGAAGACTAGCAGCATCTAGAACAGAGAGGGGCAATATAAGACCTAAAAATAAACCAAATTATTGAGCTATACATTTTCAGCTGTCTGATTCGGCTGACACACTGCGCTGATTACAACATCATGCAATAACTCACACACAAACATTTCAAGGCAGTTTATTTTGGAATGCAAGCTGATATAAAGCAGAAATTTCTGAATTAAGGGGAAAAAAATTTGATGTGTCTT